CCCATGGGTGGTCTGCATGAGCCTACCAGAGAGGGAAAGCATCTGTTTCAACAGTTGATTTGTATGCAGAGTCATCCCCTCATAGCCTGGCACCCAAGGCAGCCCTCCACTGCAGGCAGTCCTCCACCCCACTGCAGCCCAGCCCAGGCATTTCCTGTGTGCCTGGAAAGTAGCCTCAGCTTCGCAGGCCACGAGAGCCCCAAGTCACAACTGGCTCTGAGTGCTGGTCCCAAGACCACAGGGTTCAGCCCAGCTGAAACTGGAGCTGTCCCAAGGGCTCTGTGTGCTGCTGTGTTTGGGGCCTGCACTTCCTCCATCACAGCCAGATGGAGCCTTGGCTGAGGAAGGGGACAGGCTGGGGACAGGAGAGGAGCATGAGGAGAGCTGTTGGATTCAATACCTCCCCTTTCCCCACTCTGTCATCTCCCTGTCCCCACCCCTCTCCCAGTTTTCTAGATGCTTCAGTGGCTGTCTCTCTAGTGTTTCCAAACCCCAGCCAGAGAGTAAATAATGAATCAGTGGCTGAGTGTGAAGCCATTCCATTTTCCAATTGTTTTCATACTGATTTTCTGCAATCTCTCCTCTCCCTACTTCCATCTTAGAAGGCATTTGGTTGTCTGAGTGACTCAGGTTCATGTCTCCATGTGGGAAGAAGACCTAAGACAGCCAAGGGGTCCTTGGGGAGGGGAAGATGGGGGCACTTTCCAGCTTCAGCTTCTTCAGGGGAAAGGGTGGGCAGGGAGCCCTCCAGTTATAGCACTGAACCACCCTCAACTTCCTGTCTCAGATATCATTTGTGAAGAAGCAAACCAGAAACCAAAGAACAGAGACAAATCTTCCCATAAGTGTCCAGTCAGTGTCAGTGAATGGAATTATTGGTGGAAAGGTCACCTTGCAGTCCTACAAACGTCTTCTCGTGCTTTGGAGGTCAAGTTTCTTGTATAGATTTCTCTGGGCCAGATTTCTGCCCTCCCTCCCTCCCTTTCTTTCTTCCCTTTTTTTTTGGTGCTGGTACTGGGTTGAACTCAGGGCCTGGGTACTGTCCCGGAGCTTTTTCACTGAAGGCTGGTACTCTACCACTTGTGTCAGGTCTCTACTTTCTGTTGGTTAGAGATAAGAGTCTCACAAGTTTCCTGCCCTGCTTTGAATTGCTATCCTCAGATCTCAGCATTCTATGTAGGTAGGATTACAAGGTGAAATACTGGCAATTGGCCCATAATTTTTTGTTTTGTTGTTTTTTTGTGCTGGGCCTGGAACTCAGAGCCTGACTCTGGCCCCAAGCTGCTTTTTGCTCAAGGATAGCACTTGAGCCACAGCTCCACTTCAGGTGGTGTATTTCTTTGCTTGTTTGGGTAGCTTATTGGAGATAAGAATCTAATTGACTTTCCTGCACAGGCTGGCTTTGAACGGTGTACCTCACATCTCAGCCTCTGAGTAGCTAGGATTACAGGCATAAGCCACCAGCACCAGGCTTTGATAGCTTTTTTTTTTTTTTTGTAAACAAGATTTTCATTGAACTAAAATATTAAAGAGATTTAGGGATAAATGTCACATGTGAAGTTTCACACAACCCTACAAATGAGAAGAGTCGGGATAATGAAGGACAGACTGTTCTGAAGCGGGAGGGAGAGCATTAGGAGTGATGAGTGGTGACAGGATGTGGAAAGCATCAAACAACAGAAAGGCCACACAGAAGAGTAGGAAACAGCCCCCAGTTCCAACTCTATCTTCTTGCAGTGAAGGGAAGCTGAAGGTAATTCAGGCCAATGTGGTGACAACAGACTGGCCAGCACAACTGCCAGATAAGCCCTCAGTTTGCAGAAACCTTAACTGTGTATGTGACAGTGACTCCTGCCAGTTTTTTAGTAGGGGCCAATTATGAGGAAGCTCTAGATACTGTCTGTGGCAAGGGGCCAGCTCTATTGCCTGTGATCCTAGCTGAGACTAAAATCATCAACTTCTGTTGCTGTCTTCCTGCTGCATGGTGAGGCTGGGAGCTCTAAGACCAGGCCAGACCAGAGGATTGCCAATTTCCCTAGCTTGCCTAACTTGCTCTTCCCGCAGGATCTGAATGCTGAGATAAGCAACAGAATACCAGAATGCACCTGCCACCCTGCTCAGTGCTCTATTTGTTTTTTCTACTCTGATCTCCATAGAGTTCAACCTAGGCTTGGGGCAGGGCATGCCTACCGAGCTATTGGAAACTTGTCCCAACCACAGGCTACAAAGCTCAGAGGCCTGCAGTATCTCTGGGTACACAAAGGAAGTTTAAGTGAATACAGCCATGAACCTGAGGGGCCCTTGACCAGTCCATCTCAGCCAGTATATAGTACCAGCCTCAACTGGGATAGTACTGTCTTGATGGTTTTCCTTGAGTGGTACTGATTGAGCTCTCAAAAGAACTGTTCAGCCAGGCACAGGTGGCTCAAGCCTGTAATCCTAGCTCACCAGGTTTAGATTGTAGTTATGACCAGCCAGGACAGGAAAGTTCTTGACATTGCACCTTCAAAGTAACCAGCCAAAAGGAGGGCTGAAGTCATAGCTCAAGTTGTACAGTGCCAGACTAGTAGGCAGTCTTGAGTTCAAACTCCCATACTGTTTCCTCCCCTCCAGCTGTTTTTCAATGTTTTAAATATATATATATTCGAGCTGAGGACCGAACTTAGGGCCTTGTGCTCGCCAGCAGGTGCTCTTCTGCTGAGCTAAACCCCTAGATCCCCCAAAATAATTTTTCTATTGTAAAGATACTGTAGAGGGGTTACGGTTACATGAGTAAGGTAATGAGTACATTTCCTAGCCAGCATTGTTACCCCCTCCTTTGTTTTTCCCCTACTATCCCATCCTTCCCCATCTCCCCAAATCCTCCCTCCCCCTCCCCCAGCCCCAGCAGTTGTAAAGATTGTCTTCAACATGTCTTGTGGTCTTATTGTTACAATGGGTCAACCTGTATCCTTGTTTCAGCATCTTGCTACTTTCCTTCCCCTCCCCAAATTAGAAAAATGCATATACAAGATGCAGGGTACTAGAATCAAGTAGTAAGAACAGGGGTTATACCCTGGGGGAAGAACCTACAAAAGAATGATAAAAGAAAAACCCAAATAGAACAACAAAAAAACCCAGAACATTAGAAACAAGAGTGACGAAGACAAACCTCGTGTCCCTATCTTGGGGTTCATTTCGCTTAGCATCATCTTATACGATCATATGTACATGGCTTTTGACCTTTTCTGCTTGTCTGGTAAAATTATTCCAGACATATACTAGTTATTGCAAATAAGGGAAACCATGGGAACTATGTTCTTTGGGCTTGGCTTACTTCATTTTCTTGATCCATTCATCTACTGAGGGGCATCTGTGTTGGTTGCATATCTTAGCTATGGTGAATAATGCTGGTAAAACATGGTTGTGTTGGTAGCTTTAGTATGGCCGTGTTCGTGATTGTTTGGGTAAATGCTGAAAAGTGAGACTGCCCCATCCAGCTCTTTTTAAGGTAAAACTGGAAGAGACACCTATGTTGAGATGTCTAAATTGCACCTAAGAAGCACAAGAAATACAAAAAAGCAAGGCAACATGACTATTCCAAAGTTTACAACTATTTAATAACTGAATCCAAAGACATTGTAAAGAGTGACATGTGAGAAAAATGTAATAGCTTAAATTAAAAAAATAGCTAACTCAAAGGATACAAATAAATGAAGTAAAGCAGTCAAGACGGACAAGAAAGTCAAGTATGTAGGTAAAAAATCAAAAAATGTGAATGAGAAATCTGTATCTTAAAAAAACCAAAACACACTGGGCGCCAGTGGCTCACACCTATAATGCTACTCAGGAGGTAGAGATGTGAGGATGACAGCTGAAATCTAGCCTGGGTAGCAAAGTCCATGACACTCTTATCTCTAATTAACCCAGAAACCTGGAAGTGGTGCTGTAGCTCCAAATTACCTAGTCTTGAGAGTAAAAGACCACGGACAGCACCCCGGCTCTGAATTCAAGCCCCATGACCAGGATGGGATAGGGGGCAGAGGGAGAGGGGAAATGGTAGCAACAAGCAAAAGTTCTTTTATGAATGAAGCGAGGAAATGGGAAAGAAAACAGTCACAATATTCAATGCGTATCTTACAAAATTAAGAAAAGGGAGGGGTTGGGAGTAAAGAATGAAAGGGGTTGGAAGTGGCGCTGTAGCTCAAGTGGTAGAGTGTTCGCCTTGAACTGAAGAGCTCAGGGACAGTGCCCAGGCCCAGAGTTCAAGCCCCACAACTAACAACAACAAAAAAGAATGAAAGGGGTGCATACCAATCAACATGTATTCCTAAACGGAGAGTGGTAACTACTTTATACAACTACTAGTCAAGGACCCCAGATCTTTAAAGAGTCTATTTAATTGGTCTCACTTGGCCAGGACAGTCAGGGGATTCTAATGCATAACAGAGATTGATGCTCCTGCTCCACATGTGTGCAGGGCCCATTTTCATCCTGTGGCAGGTGGGTGCAGGGTGGGAGTGTGAAAGGCACTTCTTCCTGGGTGAGTGAAGATGCATGCAATGTCAGAGATCCACTCTGCTCTTAAGTTTTGGGCTGCATGTGAGGGCCCTCCAGGAATTTTCTGAAGCCAATGTGAAAAGGCTCTGCTCAGAAATACCTTCTAACACATCTGTATGAGGACAGAAGGACATAGGCAGGGGCAAAGTGGTTACAAGGTCAATAGTAGAGGCTCTCAGATGAGATTGGGGAGGATTTGGGGGAAGGAGACAAAACTGAGCTTCCCCGGGCAGTATCAGAACCAGTGGATGGGGCCCTGGTCTCTCTTAACAATGTGTTCCTCACTTGCTAGGTACCAGTTTTACAACACAATTGTCTTGGAGCAGTCACAACATCTGCTCAAATGAGTACATGTGGCTGGGGCCTGATGTCACCAAACACATGTTCGATGCACATTTGTGTATTTACCAGTGAAGACAGCACGAGAAACCTAAGTAATGAACTGGAAAAACATTTTCAAATGTGTTAAGAAATATTAGTTTTATTTAATCAGTTTTCACAGCTGAATATTTATTCTATAAAAACTTTACAGATTGTACAGTTTATATATAGTTCAAACTACTGAACAAAAAAGTGGGTCCCACAGATGCAAAAGTACTGTACCAATCCATCCTAGCTAAAGGAAGATTTACATACTGTACAGTTCTCCATGTGGCTGGGGTGATGGTCTCAGTACAAACTTCAAAACTGTACAAAAATAAGGTCTGGTTTTATTTCATTCTTCATACATTCAATGATTGCAAACCCAGAAGCCTAACTATAGAAGAGGCTTCTTGGAGTGAGGAATCAGCTGCCGCTCCTGAGGAAGGCATAGTCCATCCACATGGGGGCGCTCTAGACACTGCACTGTACTCAGCATATGGTGGACAAGACCAGAGACCAAAACAGTAAATGGAACTGTCCTAAAGAGAGTAGTTCTCTTGTTTTGAATGAGTTTTTATTTAATAGTGTGCCAGAAGAATTTTAACTTATTAAATAAAGCATATTCTAAGTGCACCTAAAAATTGCATTTGATAAACAAAAATACTTTTTTTGGTGTAATACATCAATCATACCTGCAGACAGAAAACCAAAATTGTATACAAAAGTAGTATTTCTCACCCAGCAACAAGAAGCACGTATCTAGTTATTTTCAAAAGGGTCAGAAAAACTACTTAAAACCCACTAAGACTAACTTATAACTTAGCTACTTATACTTAAGCTATTCAGTGATTCACTAATACTGCAAAGTAAGTTCTCTTCCAGACAGTGTTTCTTCATGTTACCTGGGTAAGACCTGGACATATTTTAATCAGGAAGAACTGGCTGATGTCTTAGCATGAACACTGAGTGTGTGTTGGGATTTCTCATCAGGACTTTTCACTCTGAATTTCCATAGATGAGGTTATATGTGCCTCTCTCCTTGGAGGTGAAGGAAATATTACAATTTTTTTTTTTGTATCTGTCTGGGGAAGGGAGGGAGGTTGTCTATACCCCTGTATATTCTGTTTCTAGAAGGAAAAGAATGAAGAAATAACGTTCCTGACTTTCCTGCCACTCAAAATGAATAAAACACAATAGAAAAAAATTACAGTACTAGCCAAAGGAAACAAATTAGACTTCCAAGAGCAACACAGTGCTCATCACTGCGCTTTTACACTTATGTGTGTATGGGTATAAAATGACGACGTTTGGACAAAGGAGCTTTGTAGTTATTTATTTTAAAGTTACAGTACTTAAAAACTCCTTGGTAATAAATAACTTGCATGTCTCCAGCCCCGCTACCACATGGAGTATGAGTGAACTTGTTTCTGGCTGTGAGGCAGCTGGGAGCCTTGGATTTCCTGCTCACACCAGTTCCAGTATCACCAGCACTCAGCCGTCCATCAAAACTCATCAATTTTCCTCTGCAAGTATTTTAACATAGAATCCATGCCCTGAGCTGAGCCCCAGATTTTCTTCAGCACCTCACACTCCCTCTCGTTGGCCTGCTCCAGCTCTATCTTCATATTGCAGCGCACCAGGGCCTTGGACTCCTCCAGGACCTGTAGCAAACAACAAAGGGTCAGTAGCATGCCTCCCTCCCCACATGTATGGGTTGACCACAGGCATTATTTCACAATTTACACCAGGCCTAGCATTCACAAAGTATTAGCCTATTAGGAGGCTCCACATTTGTGGATTCAATTAACCGAGGATTGCAAATAATCAGAAGACCAACACCCCCTCATGTCTATACTGGACAGTCATTCCTTAAACAGTATAATGTAACACCCAGTAACATGGCATTCATGTAGAAACAATCTTAAGTCCACAGGTGGGGGTAGTGTACGATGCAAACATCACACCCTTTCACAGAAGGACTGGAGCATCCCTGGAGTTTGGGGTCCATGGCACAGGCAGCTGGAACCATCCTCATGGATTCTGTGTGACGCTGACGGATCTCACACTACATGGTGCTGAACCTTGAAATGGCTCTTACACTATTTTCAGCAAGCTGGGTTTCAGCAGCTGGCCCTTAGCTGCCACTAGATCAGGCTTCAACCCAGCATGGCTGCCATGGGCCTGTGTGGAGCAGCCTTGGGATATGTTCATCCCACTGATGCCCAATGAAACCACTCAGATCAGCGTGAGGGGGTTTCCTAAACAAGACCTAATGTTCCTTATGAAGATTGCTCATATGACTGTTTAGAAGAGAGCTTTTTGTCTTACTAAGAAACAGTATCTCACCCTATAATAGTCAGAAGACTGACTACTCAGCATCAAACACAGGGAATGTAAAGGGTGATTCTGCGAAGTAGAGAATGGTGCAAACGTTGCTACTGCAGATGCTAGTGTCTACTTTAACTCTCAGGTTTGGACCTGCAGTGATGGCACCGAGAGCAGCCTGGGTCAGCGGGTCAACCTTACGCATGGCTGTGCTCACACCAGAGTGAAGCGGGTGGCAAAATGTAGTCTGTGAGCTCTCTGGAGAAAAACATTTATTTATCTATTTGTTTTCCTGTCCTGGGGCTTGAACTCAGGGCCTGAACACTGTCCCTAAGCTTCTTTTGCTCAAGGCTAGCACTCTACCACTTGAGCTACAGTGCCACTTCCAGCTTTTTCTGGGTATGTGGTAATAAGGAATAGAACCTAAGACTTCATGCATGCTAGTCAAGAACTCTACCACTGAGACACCTTCCCAGCCCAAGGTTTAGTTTTTAAAAAGCTAGCATGTACAAGAACCAACTAGACGTACAACTGGATTACAGGAGGCGAGCTCCTTGATTCGAACCATGACTTCCTGGGTGAAGGTCCCTGGCCAGAACACCTGGGAGACCAGGCCCTTGCCACATGCCTCCTGCGCGGTCAGCTTCCGCCCACTGAGCAACATTTCATTTGCCTGAAAGGAAGCAGAGTGATGCGATATAAAACACGATGGGAACAGATAGAGGGGGCCTTGCCCCGCAACATCCACATTGAGGACAGGTACTCAAAACCCCAGAACTTGTGGCACATGTGCGAATGCGCACTAAGAATGAATTGTGTATGGGCAGATCCAATAGGCAGATGGGCTGGGTGATTAAGAAAAGAGAAAGACAACCTCATTCAGAATCACATGGACTCCAATAGTATGAAGTAAGAAAGGTCTACTTTGTGTTTGAGGTTATTGGTCTAATTTCCTTTATCTGCACTGTCTGCTAAAGCCAGGTCCCCTGTGTGAACTCTTCATATGCAATAAAATGAGCCACAAATAAGGACAAGTAATTAGTAATCTTATAGAAGTTAGCCAAGCATAGAATGGCAGACTAGGTGGTTACTTTCCCTATCTGTGTGACGAAAAGTAACGTGCTCCTGAGACACAGAGACCATGTTCTAATGCTACTGGACACCACCTTAGAGATCACATTTCACCACATGTATATACATATAAGAGACAAAGCAGCCAGCACTTTCATGATCCCAAAATTATTACCATGTTAAGGGGGTCTGACATGTGGCTTCGCATGACTGCATGGCGGAAGTCAACATACTTCTGTTTTTAAAACATGTACTTGTGTATACATCTATACATGTGTATACACATTACACCAACATTAACTTTGTCCTAGGTTGCTTTTCAGGTTTCAGAGGAAGGTGTCTGGATTTCACCATTCCAGCAACAGGCTCACAGATGCTCAGGCAGGGTGAGGAGGGGAGAATGGGTCAAAACCATGACTTCCTTCTGTGTTTCTCTGATGGTCCCAAATACCGGACCCCAGAGCTTCTGGGGTTCAGGTAAACAGACTGTTGGTAGAAGACTCCTTTCTCAAGAGATGCAATCTAATGAAAAGTACCCAGAGTGACTAAGTGAACACTACAGTTGCCAGTAGTTGTTTCCTTCAGACAGTGCACAGAGCACACAAGCTAGTGCTGGAGAGCACAGGTGTGGCTGACTTGCTGCCCTTCAACACAAGTAGGAGGGATGAACACAGCGGCAGGGAACCTGCTTCTCAGCAGAAGGCCTTGCAAGATTCTGAACATCACCCTAAGTGAGGCTGATTATTTGAGCACAGTCTTGGACAAGGTCATGAGCATCTGAAGAGTGTAGAATGTTCTGATAAGCCCCAGGTTGACTGAACAGCCTCTTCTAAGGATGGTCTATAAGTAAACACTTATTAGAAATCTCACTTAATCTTGTTCTTCATATTAAGTCAGTTCTTCAAGGTAGAAAAGTGAGAATGGATAAAGGAGAAGGGCCCTAGGGCAACTGAATTTTCCCCTCTGAGATGATAATTTTCCTTCTCAACACACAGTAGAGAAACCATAGCGTAGTCCCTCCAGTTGGGCAGGATGTATATTCTCAACAGAGTGCATGCCAACATGTTCAGGCCCAGAGAACCCACTGAGTAGGGTTTCTACTCTGTTCTCCTCAGTCACTTCTCTCTTCTTTTTTGATATAGTGTCTATTCTAAGTAGGCCTTTGGTGTCAGCTACCTGTGTATGGGCATCATAGGCACATAATGCCATGCCCAGCCTCATTACTTCTTTTCATGCTTTCTGCCCTTTGAAGGTCAGCCAATAGCTCCAAAATAGCTCTTTCCATTCACCTCCTATTCATGCCTTTTCCTCGTTCTTTCCATCTGGGCTAACTGGAACAATCTGTCTCTAGCCAGCATGCTGTCATGGTGGTCTACTTTACTTTTTCCCAGCTAGCTCCATACACATCTGCTTGTTACTAGGAAGTCTTTTCTGACTTGTGCTTTTCTCTTTTCCTAACAGCTGGACATGCAGGACATTGAAAGGAATTCCTCACACCCAAGAGTGTGAATGAGATGACTGACTCAAGGCTATTTATGGTTTCCCACTTAAACACACAAGCAGTGGGCCAGGATCAGTGGTTCCTACCTGTAATCTTAGCTACTAAGGAGGCTTAAATCTAGAGTTTGGTGGTTCCAAGATCTGCCTAAGCAGACAAGTCTTGAGATCCCACCTTCAAAATAATCAGAAAGAAAGGGCTGGAGGTATGTCTGAAGCTGAGCATAAAATCTGAGGAAGAGCTTGCGTAGTATAGGTCACTTTGTGCTGCTTGTAGCACAGCATCTTTACTCACAGAGGTCCTAGGGATACCTGGTACTCCCTGGTCTGTACCAATAACATCTTTTCAGTTCCAACTTTGTGTATGGTGTGTGTGAGTGCACGTGGGTGTGCGTGCATTGCACACAATCCTTGTATAGATTGATAGAATTAACCAAGGCGCAGGTGTTTATCTTGCAGTGACTTCAAACCACTTTGAATCTTTCCAAACACAATGAACTCTTAAGATTCTACCACTGCTGGACGTTGGCGGCTTGTGCCTGTAATCCTAGCTACTCAAGAGGCTGAGATATGAGGACTGAAATTCAAAGCCAGCCAAAAAGTGAAGCTGGTGACTCTTATCTCCACATAACCACCAGAAAACCAGAAGTGGTACTGTGGCTCAAGTGGTAGAGCGCTTGTCTTGAGCTGAGGGACAGTACTCAGGCTGAGTTCAAACCCCACAACCGACAAGGAAAAAAAAAAAATTCTACATCTGACAACATTCAGCACAAAGGCTCTACCTTCAAAATGCCGTTTGACTACATGGTGTTTGCCTTTCCAAATTTACTTAGTATTTCCTCTAGTTGGCCCTCATCCTCCCACACCAATGCACATCTATACCTTCCCTGGATTATCTCTTACAATGAGCTTAACATGTTCCTGGAAATAAGGATTCTTCTTTTTTTGGGGTGGGGGTACGGTCATGAGGCCTGAACTCTGGGCCTGGGTGCTGTCCCTCAGCTCTTCAGCTCAAGGCTAGCGTTCTACCACTTGAGCCACAGTGCCACTTCCAGCTTTTTTTCTTTTTGCTTATGTGGTGCTGAGGAATCGAACCCAGGGCCTCATGCATGCAAGGCAAGTGCTCTATCACTGAGTCACCTTCCCAGCCCGGATATAAGGATTCTTTAGTGCCCGATTTAGCATTTAATTGTTAGCAAATCACCTTCTTTAGTAATAACTCCCAATGAGCTTAAAGATCTACCCTTAATTAGGTAGGGCTAGATGGGTACAGCAGGGCAAAATGGACAATACAGCACAGATGTGATCCTACTTCATTCTCTATCTGCAACAGATAGATGGTGACACATAATCCACCAAACTCCACTTGCCAGAATCCATTTTGGCTTCCACGGAAATTGGTGACAGGTAGGGGTAGAAAGGGATTTGGGGGTGGGAAGGCCGCTTCAAGGCCAGGTAGAGCACTATGGGACCTGGCCCACTACCATCATGTGCTAAACTTGGTCCTCACATGTAAGGGCAGAATGCCCTCTTGTCCTTGTGGGACTCCTGGGTATCAGAGTAGCAGGAGGTGGAGACTGTACCCATCTCTTAGACTTCTCAGGTTACTGGCCAAGTTTCAGAAAAACTCAATAATATGCCTGAGGATGGCTACAGGTGAAGAAAAGGCAGGAGCTTAAAACTTGGCATGGAATTTCTGGGAAGACACCTTTCAGACTCACTCAGACTTGCTGGGCTTACAGAAATGGCTCATGACTGGGCATGGCTAATCAGTGTGGGCATGCAAGCCAATAAGGGGACCAGTAACTTCTCTACAGTATTATCCTGTAGTGAGAAAAAGAGGAAAAGAATCCCTAATAGGGATACAATGGTCATCTACCTAATGTCAGAGTACTGGGTCTGACCAGTACTGAGTGGTAAACTGGACTACTGGTCAGAGATCTGGAAAAGTAGGGCTGAGGTATGTGAATTGAGGGATGAATGAAGGGACTGATGGATGGACAAGATGTGATGTAGACTGCTACATTACATTCACATCTATCAGGGAGCACTCATAAAGGGACAGGACAGTCAACCATATGAACCCATTGGCACTGTCCAGTCTTGGTTGCTGGCCAATTGATTCCTGGCATAACAGACATACATGCCAAGTAGTCAGTGTTTGGTAGACACAGAGGGCTAGCATATTAAGGTCAGTGAATACCTGGCTTCTCAGGAGAGTACCAAGGTTTAGCCATCTTGTACAGCTCATTCCCAAGGTTCTCAGCCTGCTCCAATGGGAACAGCTGTTGCCTCCAGGCCTGTCTGTCTTGTCCCCCAGTCCTCACAAGTCCCAGAATGCGTGGTCTCAGGAATGGGGGTCTAATGCAGGCAAAGAGCCAGTGTTGGAGGATCCCATTCATAGCACCAATAAGGTGCTGCAGAGCTTTACAATGTGTTGAGCCTCCAAGGGAAGGAGGCACTGTTGGTACATGAGTACAGCAGAGCTTCCTGATCCTCCCTGCCCAACAGCAGGTATTTCGGCTTAAGCAGCACACAGGGATGGGGCATGAGGACCCCTGGGACAAATACCCACCAGCAGGGGATAACTGGGAGAGGTACACCTACAGAAAACAGTGGCAATAGTAGGGGCTGTGATCTTTTATCAACTTCTCCAATTTCAGTTTTCAAAAACAACTTAGAATTTAGAGTAATTTTGGACCCAGCTCTCCCTCAATTCACAGGTCATAAAACATAGTAATCAAAGCCAGAACATTTCCACTGAAGCCATATTAGTCACTAAACACAAACCCATACCAACCTCACCAGAGCCTCCCTCTGCCCTTCTCTCACTCAGGAGTCCATCTGGTCCTGCAGGTCCCTGCTCTCCTCCTCTTTGAGGGCCCACAGTTCCCAACATCCCTCCACCATCCTTGGCTACTGCGAGGGGTTCTGCCTAGCATTTGTTGTCTTGATAGGTGTAGATTGAGGAATGTTGACTGATTCTTCTTCTTTGGCAGAAGTCCACACAGCAACAGATGCTACAGCTATCTCAGTGAATCACACTGGGGCAGCGAGGTCAACAAGCCTTACACTTGTTGGTGGTACTGGTGTTAGAACACAGGCTCTTGTAGGTGAGCTATGCTTTTTTGGGCTGGTCATTTTTCAGATATGGTCTTGCTTCCTATCAAGGGACATGCCTGAGTCAGGACTCAGATATTTTAAGCTTCCTGTTGTAATTAAGATGATGTGTCCCTAGCTTGAGAGGAGGTATCACCTACTTTTTGGCTTTGGCTGGCTGATCATCCAAATCTCAGCCTCCTATGTAGCTAGGATTACACAAGTGGCTCCCAGATCCAATGAGCCTTCCTTCTCAACCCTACCTACTCAGCAGTACTTGCCAATTTCTTCTCCTACAGTTACTCTTATGCTCAGAAAATACAGAAAGATGACACACAATTTGTTCTTCATTGTACTCTAATTGTTCCCAAGATTGCCTGAAATTGTACTGTCTATCTCCCCTGTCTGTAGGCTTCTGAAGGAAGAGAGAACCCTGGATCCTGGAGGTTTCTTCATGAGAAGGTAGGTCCCAGTGACACAGAGGGTGAACTGAGCTGTGAACCCCTAAGGGAGGTCCTGCTGCTCCAGCTGTAGGCTGTCAGCTCCTTCTGCACCTCCCTAAGCTACAGTCATTGTACATGCCATAATGGTCTTCCTGCACTCCCCACACTGATGGGGATGAAGGTAGTATCATGTCAATTGGCCAAGTCAAAATATGGACACTTAGTTTTGCTGGAAGTTGAGGATGTGTAGAAGCGGTTGACTTGTCCCTTTGTCCAATCTGACTTTCAGGCTATCTCTTCAACAGGGCTCAACCTGAGGATTCTACTCTGTGCCAAATTCTCAGTCTATCTCTAGAACTAAGGAACACAGTCCATATAATAGAGAAAACACAAACACAACCTCTCCTAATTTAAATCGTGTGTGTGTGTGTGTGTGCCCACACGCATGCGCAGGTGTAAGTACTGGGCTTTGAATTCAGGGACTTTGTCTCTTATCCTGGCTCTTTTTGTTCAAGCCTGGCACTCTATCATTTCAGCCTCAGCTCCTGGCTTTTTCCTGGCAAAATGCAGTAAGAATCTCTTGGATTTCTCTATCTACACTGGCTTCCAACTGCAATTCTAGTATCACCCTCCCAAATGGCTAGTATTACAGGTGTGTGTGAATGGCTGCTACATGGTCTCTCACTGCTACTTTAAAAGGGCAGCTTTTAAATTGTGAAGTAAAAGCACAATTCCTGTTTGAAAACTGGGTATCAGTGTGATTTATGCAGATCTGGAGGCTCATCATGGGAGGAATGGCCTTCTTCTCCTGGGAAGGATCACAGCGCTCCACGAACCAAGTGATTTGATGGAATGTCCCCAGAGAACACACTGCATACATTGAGTAGAACAACATTGTCTAAAATAATTTTTTCACAAAGGTACTCACAGATGCGCCTCCCATAATCTTGGGAAACATAACAGTAGAGCAGCCATCTGGACTCTGTCCGAAGGTGGTATAGGGTGTTTGGAACCAAGCCTTTTCATTAGCCCAAACCACATCACAAAGAGGCAATATGGACGCTCCTAGTCCAATAGCTGGGCCATTTACTGCTACAATAATAGGCTTCTTAAACTGAATGAAAGTATTCACGAAGTTTCTAAAATAAAAAAAAAAGGGGAGGGGGAATTACTAAAAACATTGCATGTATAAGCAGATGAGAAAAATCTATTCTAGAATGCAATTTGCCAAGAAGAAAACTGTACAAAGTAAGATTTAAAGATTCCTCCCAAAACCTGTAGACTGTGGATCTACCTGCTACAGGTTGTAAAGGTTTAACCACAGCCTGTATCAGGGCTGGCTGCTTCCACTGGTTCTAGGTGACATAGCTAGAGTTGCTTTGGTATTTGCAGTGGATCTTGGGCTCACTGACCATTATATCCAGCACTTCCACTTTTTTCTCTTGGAACACCCAAGGATGCTGCTAACTATGGATTTCTTATGCCCAAGCAAAGAGAAAGCTTGGGAGTGAAAATTTCACCGATATTGCCCAGTGCTGAATGAAATGTAAGTAACAGTAAGGGATATGACCAGATAGCAGTCTTCAAGTAGTGAATCTGCAAACAATAGGTATTTTGTAAAGTCATATAAACTGGACTAAATCAACTCAGGGACAGAGAATTAGGCTAAAGACATGAGGTTAGAAAGAAAGATCAGCAAACACTACAATGCCTGTATCCCATTATGTGTTGGTGGATGCTACTGCACAGGACCTTGGAGAACAAAGCAGGCAAGGGGAGGGTGTCCTTCACAGGGGATAAGAAATTGCCATTAAACATAGCCAGTACTGTGCTGGAGTTTGTTTTACAGGCTTTAGAGTTCCAGGGAGGTTGTTGCTGTACTTACTACATTGGGAATCTGCTTCTTTTTCCCCACCCCAGCTGACTCTGAGTTCAGAGGTGGTTTCTTGTACTGATTTAACACAGTGGAGCAAAGCATAAACTTACACCTACATAAATATACGGTTATTATTCTTCAGTATATTGAGTCTGACTATTACAGAATGAGTACAACTTTTCTTATGCAGAGTTCTAAACTTGGGCCTGACCAACAAAAGCCACTGAGACACTTCCTATTAGTTCCCATTATCAAGATGAGATATAGTACCACATCTACTATCCTCCAACCCCCTCTCCCCCTAACTTGCCCCAGGGCAAATATGGGGGGGGGACGATGACTCAGGGCCTTCTACTTAGTTGGCTAACACTTGACTACTTGAACCACACTTTCGGTCCTGTTTTCACTAGTTAGTTGGGAGGCTGAATTTTAACAAACTTGTCTGCTTGAGCTGTCTTCAACCAAGATCCTCTGGCTGGATCTCAGTCTTCTGAATAGCTAGATTACAGCTAGATTGTATTGTAAGGAGGGAGTCTGGGAGGTGCATAAGGATCACAGGAGAACAGGGCTTGCAGATCCAGAGTCCAGCAACTGGTGTGAGGTGCATTCTGTGAGTTGAGGCTGCCCTCACCTCAGCCTTGTCATATGCCCCCAAGGTTGGTAAGGTTTTGCACTAGGCAAGAATTAATTCCTTTAAATGAACCAGCTACACTAATATCTAAGACTTCTAAATGAGAAGGCCTAAAGGCACTGTTAGAAAGATCACATTGGGGTTTAATGATAAAGCTGTGGTACATGAACACAAAAGAATTAAAACTGTCCTCGATATCATGTTTCTCCCATGATACATTTGTACATATATTTTTAAAAAATCTGCTCTTATAGTCTATGAGGAAAATCAACACCAGGACTTCAACAGGCTAGATACATTGTTTTATAACTGATATTATTATTTTTTACCTGGAATGAAAATAATGTCAAATGAAATTATTTCTCTATCTCAGGAATCCATGCTAAATTAACCAGCACCCCTGCTCAGAGGAAGGGGCCATGATGATGTGTGAACTCATTTGTAAAACATGAGCTGAACACAAAGTCAGTTTGTTGAAACACAGCCATTCACCAAAGCTTTGTAGAAATGACCTCTCAGAAGAGACCTCCCAAGGCCACAGAGGTACAGTATCATGAGCTACAAAAGTTTACTCTAAAGCAAAGAAGCTCAGGTACTGTGCTCAGGCCCTGAGTTCAAGACCCAGGACTGGCAAAGAGGAAAAAAAAAGTAAAGCCCTCAAACATTAAAACATCTACAGTGCAGCATACTGAACTTATCATGTGTTCCCATTGGATTATCTGTGAACTAAGGTAAAGGCTGTGTTAGGTACGGAGGGGAAGAAAAGATTTGCTACAAAGTTAGTCTTTGAAGACATTATTATTCAATAGAATTTTTTTCTGAGAAGAACATTTACAAGGTCAGATATGAAGTCAGACCCTCATGGAAGGATGTAGGAATTGTCTGGGGAAACCAGACAAGAAGAACCAAATTAGGAGTTCCTTTGCTGCCTTCCTCAGTTTATTGAGCTTTAGTATCTGAAGGATCGAGTAGGAAGAGGTCAAGATCTAGGGGCAGGTTGCTGGTTAATTTTACTCTCTCTCCAAATCCTCTAATCTAGGACTGCTGAGTAATAGCTTCTTCCTTTGGAAACTCCCCACCCTTATCTAGCTGCATTATGAGAAGAGACCTCCCTTCCATGGAGAGGAGCTTGCTCTTGGGTCCTTCAGACACTTAGTATGCAGACATCAAAGGCTCAATGTTATAAATGGATCCCTAGCCACTCAGTTTTTATCAATGATATAACAGCCATTTCATGACAATGAATCTGCAAACTAGCCATCATCAATTCCAATAGTGGAAACAGCAGCACTAGCGAGTGGACAATGTCAGGTGTTAGTTGGCCTCCATTTTCACTTTGCTTCTCTTTTGGATATTTGCTACATGAGGTTCTTTGCCTCAAAAGGTTTAAGGAATCTGAGACATGACACCACAGAAACAAGCAAAAAATGTATGCAGAGAAAGATTTTTGTGTGTAAAGTCCATCTTATCCATATAAAATTAATTTAAATAAACAGTAAGAGAAAGCTTAAGTAAATCTGCTCTAACTAATTATTTTTCTGATTCTTCCCTATTACATTAAGAAAAATTCTCTCTGGAAAAATACATTCACTCCAAGCAGCAGCAACGCAGGTTTCACAGAAATAGGATGTGTCTGTTTCCTATAATATTAGCTGAGCCTTTTGTGGGGAGCCCAGAGAAGAGGAGGAAAGTGGGAGGCTGGGAGGAGAAACAGGAGTGAGGAGCTGATGAAAACAAGCATCTATAAAGTCAGCTCAAAGTGCACGAGATGAGCTCTCTACTTCAATGTCTGGATCTATCTTTTCTCTTTTTCTTATCCCAGTCGGACAAGCCTCAGCACTGTCCAGGTCAGTGACTGGATACTGGAGGGAGGAGCAGGCTGAAGAGCAGCAAGATTGGTGAGAGAAGCTCCAAGAGGCTCAGGAGAGGACTCAGGTGGTCTCATGGAAGATGTACAACGTCACCACTGAAGACAATGGTGTGTGTATGTGTGTGTGTGTAAAACATGAGGCTTAAATTCATGTAATTCATCCTGGTGTAACAATGAGCAGTGTCCACACAGACACACAGACACAGACACAGACACAGACACACACACACACACACACACACACACACACACACACAGAGATGATTTTGATTGTCTATAGCAAAATTAAGTCCACTGATCAAGGCTTTTAATTAAGTCAAGAAAGAAGTCAGTGCCTTCTAGTACCACACCACAAAACTAAATTAAAAACCCCAGAATAATATTGGAATTATAACATTTCAAACCATAGGCATGTTATTCTGGAAGCAGAGATGGGGAAGACTGAGGTCCAAGGCTAGTCTAGGCAAAGTGTTAGCAAGAAGACCTTATCTCAACAAACACTTCTGACTTGGTGGTTCATGCTTGTAATCCCAGCTATGTGAGAAGTATAGCTGAGGGAACAGGAAAGCTCAAAAAATATTTTAAATACTTAAAGCAAGAAGAGGGACGGAAATGTGGATCAAATGGTAAATAGCTTGCTTAGCCATTATGAGGCTTTCAATTCAATCAAATCCTAGTAATACAAAAAACTCACAAAACAGATATAAGATGTGTTCATTAGTTTGATGTAGTTACTTATACAATATATACAGATTTTGAAACAAATTGTGTATATATGTAAACATATGGCTTCCTTTCCTGTCATATAAGGAATACTTAGAATTCAGAAAAGATAGAAGTGAACACTAGGTTCCTTGCCTAATAAATAAGAGTAGGGAAAATTTCATTCATTTTCTACTGAATATCTTCAAGTTCTTTCAGTAGTTTCTAGGCTGAACTTGAAGAAATTATACTGGATGTAATAAAAAAAATAAAACTCTCTCTATATGATCTGCAGTAATAGGCACAAAACCTACACAGTTTACTTTAGAGCTCAACAACAGCAGTTACTATTTGGTAGAGAAAGCACCTCTACTTCAGGATTGAGGTCAGCAGGTACAGCACAAGTACCAGACAGCTGTACATTATCTGTAGAGCACTCTTAGCCAACATGCCTGAGCATGTGCTGGGTGTCAGCCTTAAAATCAGTTTTATTTGCCTCTGATAAGCAGTCATTTATGTCAGACCCGTAGAAAAGGCAAATGAGTTAGTTGAGTTAAATGACAGTCGTTGAAGCCTGTTCAGGGCTGTGCTTTTCAGAGCTAGTACATGGAAAACCAAACCCAGCCCTGATGTAAACATACTGGCTTTACAACATACCTGATTGCATCTGCCATCTTGGTGCTTTCTCTCTTTCTGTCATCTGTGAGACGGCGTATGAAGTAAATGAAGTCCAGGCCACAACAGAAGACGCTGCCCACTGCGCTGAGCAGCACCAGCTTGCTGTCATCAGCAGCGGCCGTGTTCAAGGCACTCTGGACTTCTTTCATCACCTGGAAGTCACCACAAGTTCCAGTGATAAGGAGCACTTTGGGTACAGACTACTATAAGCAATTTACTAGTCAACAACCTCGACTACAGAAAATGTCCAGCTTGATGTGCTTTGCTTCGCCTAGCACAACAATAAACTGTCTGCACATTGCTTATTTTCTGTAAGCAGAGACTGAGGTGCTGGGCACAGAGCTCACTGTAAACAGGTAACATAAAGAACAGCATAGGACTAGAAAGACCCATGTATCTCCATCACTGGGTATTTCTACAGTTTGTTCAGCAGGCGGCACATTCAATCACTTTGAAAAAGTGAGTCCAGTGACACTTTTTTTTCCCCCTTAAACTTAGGACAGAAACCTAAATGACTTGGTGCCTAAGTACATGAAATGGAAACCCATCATGGAAAGGAAAATGTGAGAGGGCACTAAATCATTTAAAACGATCTTGGAAAAAAATAAAAGAAAAAATCACCAGTGAAGGGACAGAGGTCTAAAAATATACCAAGGATAAAGCCCAGAACTGCTTGTTCTGTGTGAGCATGGCTAGCACACAGACCTTCTATAGTTTGCTTTCCTTGTCTGGAAACCACCTGCTCCAACTGTGTACAAAGGAAAACAAGCACCACTAGAACTTAAAACTTTGGTGAGTCCCAGTGCAAGTGGACATGTATCCAATTCTAGAGCCTTCCTAGCACCGGCTTTTGAACAACAACCCTGTCAACAAAGAATTCCTGGCCTTTTTGCAAGCTGCCTTTTCAGGTACTAGTCAATATGCATGCATAGAAAGCCCCCTTGCTGTGTGCTCTGCCACAATACTAAGACCATCAGTGTTCTAGGATGGCAGGGAAACTCCTCTCACAGGACAGAACCCGGTCATTGTTATCTTGCACAAACAAGAAACATGTCAAGATGAGAGCTATGGCAAAGCCGCAGCCCCTGCAGATGAAGAGCTACTGACCTGGGAGGTGGCCTGAGGACAGAGGCACTGCTGCCTCCTCCTGGTAAGAGCCAAAGTTCCCACACCAGTAGACTGAAGTAGATGCCCAGCACATGCCTACTGCCCCATGTCAGTGCAGCCAGAGTGATTAGCAGCCAAGCTGCCAAGTCCCCTCTGCTTCCCACCTCCTGGGCACATTGTGGGCCAGCTCAGAAGGAGGTTTCAGAAGAGCATAAAGAGCCACTCAGCAAAGCAGGCGTGGAGAAGCACAAAGCGCATAGCAAGGCGCATCTCTCACCTCTGGGTTTAGAGAGTTATTCTCAGATGATTTTGTGGATAACAAGATGTGGGTGAAGCCATCTTGCTTCCTGACGACAATATCTCTGTATCTGTAGGCACTCTCTGTCTGCCTCACACTGAAACGCAACCGCTTGTCAAAAGGCTGGTCTCTTCTGTCGTCAAGAAATTTCCTTTTCCCAGCCGTCACTCCTGTAACAGACGTCTGTATGTTGGTTGTTCCATTGGCTGTTAGTGCATCCATGAACGGAGATGTACCTGCCAAGAGTTTGAAATCACAGTGGTCTGTGATGTCCTATCACCAATTCTTTCCCAGTGTCACCTCAGAATTAGACCAGAATGCTGGTCACAAACCCAGGACTTATCAACACCAGACTGTCCAAATCAGAACCTTGTCAAAGGCTACTTCTAAGATACCTTTCAGTTTCAATCTATGTCTGACAGAAAATCCATCCCCATTTATTTGGTCTAATATGTACAGCTCTAAACTTGGAGACTTTTAGAGAATGAGATTAGAGAGAAGGGGTCTCCTGTAGAGGATCTGCTGTAGGTCTGACAAGTTGGAGAAAAAGAAAACAGCCTAAGGAAATATGAATAGTAAGGCCAAAGTGGTCAAAAGACTTCTCTCTAATGCAAGAAGGTCCCGTGACAAACCTGTCCTTGCTGGGCCATGGCCTGGTGTGGTGGTGCTGCTTTAGATTCTGGTCTCTGTAGAGCAACATATATGTCAGGGCTTCTTCCTTCCCCTGTCCAGGAGGTGACTACCAGAGAGGGTCATCCCCTGTTTCTACCTCTGCTTTCGAAAAGGGTACACACACATCAAAGGGCTGTCTTCTCTCCATCCAAAACATTCTACCAGTGATCCTCATGTCACAACTCCTCAATGCTAATCTGGGTGCTGTTTTTCCATCAGTCCTAATATATAGTCTCCTGAGACTAACATTTGTTTCCTTTCCTTCTTTTGGTGGTGGGGACTGAACTGAGAGCCCTGTGCATGCCAGGCTTGTACTCTACCACTGAGCTGCATCTTCAGCTCTCATCTTTGCTTATCATAATGGTCCAGGACTATACTAAGTAAGCGATACAGTTACCAAGGTAGATGAGAGTAAGAGAGATGCTGCACTTAGCATTTATACAAAATAATCATCCTGTCTATACGAGCCACCTCAGTGTTGGCTAGTGTGGCAATAGATGCAGAGCTCTGGCTAGGAGAAAGCAAAAGCCATGCCTGAGAAATACATGAGGATCTACTGGTAAAATTAGCAACAGAAGTGTTCTGAGAGGGAAGGTCATGAGTCATTAATTATGAACCAAGAACTACTTCTTCAAAAAGTGAAAAGCAATAAGCCAAATCCACCAGAAAAGACACATAAATGGTATTTAAGAGAAAATAAAAGTGTTCCTGGTCAATCACTGGAAAAATTTTATGTATTTTAATTTCTGCTATTAAAAACTCCAAGATACCAAGATGCAGAAACCCCTTTGTACAACTAATGAACAAAATTTAAAAAATTAACACTGGAATTAAAAACCTAGACATAATGCAACATTTTCTCTCATATTTTTTGCTTTGCCTATAAGAATTGGCAGCCTGGTCGTTATGAGGGCCCCTTATTTTCCTCTAGGGCTGCTGGGTGCCTGTATTAGAATTCACTTTTTCAACCCACATGGGAACCAATGCTAACATTCAAGCTTTCACTATTGTGAACTACGCTGCACTTGCAAACTGTGGCCCTTTTTAGATCCAGTGCTGGCAAGCCCACACATGGTGCTTAGTTTTAAAATCCCTCAATGTGCAAGGATTTCAAATTGAACTTGAACATGCTGTTCATGGAAGATCAGGAGTAAAAATTTCACTCACTATGCTTAATAGATTCATAGTACAAAGGGAAAGGTTAAAGACTGTTTAAACTGTTGCATCAAGAGAAAGAGAAACAACAATGAAGGGAGCCCAAGTGAGCTCTGTAGGCAGAAATCAAGCAGCCTAAAGTATGTGATATAACTAGAGCCCCAGAACAGAGGCATAGTGCATAAATTATGGGATATGTTATGAAAGTCAAAAGCCTATGGCTAAAGTAATTTGACAAAGGATATAGATGTGTGCATGTCACTTACTCTCTCTCTCTCTCTCACACACACACACCCCTATCAAACCGAGACCTATTATTATGTTGAAAACCTGTAAAAGATACTACAGATAGAAAAAATGTATAATTACCTTCAGACAGTATATACAGACCAAAAAAATAGAACGATAGCAAGGGAAGTGTATAACAAAACAAACTACCTGAATAGCATAAACACATCCTATATATCCTTCAATGTCAGGAGGTAAAAAGAATTCTAGACAAAAGAAAATTGAGAGAATTTGTCATCAATTGACTTGTACTAAAAAAAAAAAATGTGAAAAGATGTTCTTCTTGGTAGAAGAAAATGAGACTACACTGAAGCCTGAATATATTAAAGGCATGAAGAACATTAGATTGGCCAGGCGCTGGTGGCTCACACCTGTAATCCTAGCTGGTCAGGAGACTGAGATCTGAGGATCGCGATTCAAAGCCAGCCCGGGCAGGAAAGTCCGTGAAACTCTTATCTCCAATAAACTACCAGAAAACCGAAGTGGCGCTCTAGCTCAAGTGGTAGAGCACTAGCCTTGCGCTGAAGAGCTGAGGGACAGCGTTCAGGCCCAGAGTTCAAGCCCCATGACCGACCAAAAAACAAACAAAACAAAAAAACAAACATTAGATTGGTAACTGTATGATAGTGAATTCCCACATGGGCTGTATATGAATGAAATAATTAACTCCAAACAGAAAGTAGTAACAACTTGGGCTAATAATGGAAAAAAGTCTCTCCCCTATTTTCACATCAATTTAACAAAAATAAATTAAAGCCACTCTGAAGAAACTATGCAATATAAATTATCTTCAAGAAAAGGACAATTTTGGAGAAATACTCAATTTTAAGACTGATTTCTGACGTAGCAGAAAGAACAACACAGAAATCATCATCATCATCGTTAGCAATCAAGCAAGGAAGACAAACAACTAAGCTAGCAAAGATTACTTCTCTTTTGGTCAGTCTTGTGTTACTACAATAAGTAATTGTTAACTGACTAATAAGAAGAAAAGGTTTATTTTGGCTCACAGCTACAGAGAGTTAAGTCTGTGATTAATTGGCTCTGTTGCTTTTGGGTCTGCAGAAAGGCAGCACAGAATGGTGGGAATATACAGTGGAAAAAGCTACTTATCCAAAGAAAGTAAGAAACAGACATCCTATAATTCTCTTTGAGGACATATCCCCAAAAGTTCCTGCTAGAAGCCACCTCTTAAAGACAAGGACCAAGCTAAGACTTTAGAGAACCTTCAAGATTTAACCCACAACAGCTTGCAAGCTTTTTTTAGGTTGGGCTGGTTAATGAGTAGTGGACTGTAACAAATACTTCAGAGCAGAGATAAAAGCATCCACACAAGTTTTTGCAAAGATATCCCTAATGTCAAAATATGACAGAGAACAAACCATACAATAATTTTCCTAATTGCTCAAGTTGCATAATCTCAGTTGATTAACAGTTGATAGTTTATGCTACAGGGCATTTGAGAAAATTGTGATATATTGTAGTATAAGGGCAAGAAAAACAAAAACATACTAACAATACCTTTTCTACATGTGGGAAGTACTTAGAAAATATAGTCTAAAAACTTATGTATAATAAAACTAAAGAATATACCTAATCTTCAAGGAATATACAGAAATGATTAGAAACATTACATTTTACTAAAAATATGAAAAAAAATCATGCTTCTGAAAAATCTAAAATTCTGTAAAACTACCTACTGTTACCAATTGTTAGCAATTTATACTACCATAGTATGTTTATTAGTGTACTACTATAAGTCTAATAAAAATTTCTAGTTAAATCTACTAAGGAAAACAAAGAAAGAGATTTTTGGAAAGAATGAATCATACTTTACAACTTATGTAAGTCAACATGAAGAACACAGGATCTACTGTGTAGAGAAAGAAAATGAGCTTGAATCAGTCTGAGATGAAATCTTAGATGAGTACTCACATATATTACAAACCAGTATTGGCCATACCATGCATAGGAATGAAAATCTAGAAAGTTGATTTTGCTTTTCTAAAAAAGTCTTATTACTGATGGAGCATGGTGGCTCATGAGGGGCAGAGATGTGGAAAGGAGACATTATCGACAAATAAAAGATGGATAAGTGATACATCCTAGCTATATAAGAGGCATACACAGGAGGCACTGCAGTCCAGGCTGGCTCCAGAAAAAACAAGTAAGGGGAGAGGGCCAGAGTATGTGGCTCACCTAATAGAGTACCTACCTAGCAAGTATGAGTTCAAACCCCAGTACTGTCTGCCCCCACAAACAGGTATTTTAAATACCTTTAGCATAGAAAAAAATGTTTTTTACATAGAAAACTGCAGACAGCCCCATATTCAGGGGGTCTAATATTAAGGAGAAGTTAAAATTCATTAGGATTTGCAAAACACAGTATTCTGTAACTTATTTATGTATAAAATATGCCCATAAATGCACTGCAGCAGTTGCCATTTACTTTGCCCCTGATATATGGCAGTTCTCCAACTATTTCTGGATTTAGAATAGTTTAAATGCAAGTTTAATGCTTTGCCAAGGCAATCCAAGTCTCAGTGTGATGAATTCAAACTCATAACCATCTCAGACATTCATGGCCGTTAAGGAGCAAAGTGTCTAACAACTTAATAACCCATGCTTATAGTTTAACATTTCAAAATACTATTTACACTTATCTAAACTCACACAGAAAACCAATTTTGAATTATATAATCTCCAAACCAAATTTATCAAGGGACAATTTTTCTCATGAATGTGGGATTTAAGGGTAGGGTTTCAACATCTGCACTCTTTTTCTTCATTAAAGTGCTGAATGAATTTACTACAATTATAAAGAATCATAAAATGACCTTTTTCTCTAACTTCCTCAATTACTAAAGTTCCTTACACAGACACAGGGATTTCCAGTGGCATTCAGCTAATGTAAACTTATCCTAAGCTCTCTTTGAGGAGATCGTACATTGCCAGAGCTACTAACCCTTTATTCCACTGCAATTGGCACACTAGGAGCAGTGTGGAGATGCACATGACATGTTTTTATGACACATGAGAAACACAAATCTGGACAAAGTTGGTGAATGCACAGCCTGTCCAGCGGAGTGTGTCTGAGCAGGAAGTCAGAATTCACACTGCA